CGTTTAAATATTTTGTTTTGTTAATTAATTACCCACCTGCGCTCTAATTTCGAGGCTGATTGTGACAAAGGAGGCGATTTTCAGGTACTATTCCCTATTCTCTATAATTACACTAATTTGATAATTCAACAAAACAATATTTATAATATTTTTGCTATGTTACTCGTATTAATTGAAAAAAGTACTTCGTTATATAAAGTTATTTAAATAGGATTGTCTACGTACATTCTCTTGTTTTTGCTGCTGTTAAACTGTTACAATAGCCAGGCAGTGACTGTCAATACAAGACCTTAATTGTTTGCATCGTCATCGGCATCTAATAGGCCAAATGGAATTCCACTAGCTTGATTACTTGTAGTGATGTATCGGAATTTGTTAAATGAACTATTTTTAAAACGCGTATATTTTGCTTGCAACTTGCTTTCGTTTACAAGTGACAAATTAATATTCACGACATAGTAATGTCACTGTTCCTATTTTAAAATAAATGAACACACCGATGAACGATTACATGTTTCGTAAACACATAACCTAAATTAATAATATTTGAATTTTGAACACGAATTCGTGTCTACATTTTACATAGCTACAAACAGGATTGTATACCGTAAAGAAAAACGGGGACATCAATCGTCACATAATCACGGAAGTAAACCCTTAAAAAGAATTATCTAAATCGGTTTTGAATTAACGATCTTATTACGTAACATAAAGACGAATTGAGAGCTTCCTCCTTTAGGAAGTTTTGTAAAAGAATTTTTCTTTTATTCACATAGTTCTAATTCAAGCTTTCATTTTTACAGGTTGCAACAGAAAGGTCATTGGGTGGCTGAACTAGATTATAGGTTAGTATTCTTTTGCCATACTTTAGTTTTTATACATACAACATAAATAAGTACTGAACACAAATACATGTTAATTTCGCATTTGAATTTTCCTCATTAAAATGCCTGTAGTGTTTTACAACGCAAATACTTACCTAGACTTACCGCTAACATAAAATTGTGTACATTAGTTTTAAAACAACGTTCATAAAAATATAGATAATTATTTTTCAATAACGTTTATACGGGCTGACTCTCCGGTAAAGTTAAATACTGAAAAATAGCTAATAAATATACTATTTGTCAATTTACAATACATTTGGGGCCATGTACTATACGGAATGAAGAAGGACATAAGCTTCTATTTATCCTGGTCAGTCGATATCCCGGTCATGATTACAAACTCTCAAGTAAAATCTAATTACTAACTAAATTTGTTAATTTTACGTATGAAGTAGTTTTTGATAGTTGACATAGAATGTCAAATAAATCTTAGATTACTATCATAACAATCTTAATTATATTACAAAATTAGGTTTACTATTATCATTATTACCACCTCACCGTAGATCACTGTTGGGCATATCTCCCAAAACACACTACCGAAACTGACTCAACTATTTATAATTATCCCCATTATAATAACTTTCATTACTGCTGTACTATCACGAATCAAGGCACACGAAGGATCATAAAAATCGTTCCGGAACATTCAATATGAGTTATTGCACGCGCAAACATCAACATAGTCCCGATTGTATGCAAACTAACCAACAATCTGTTCTTAATAAGTACTGACATTACGATTATAATAATAATCGTAAATTATAAACTTTATTACGTTTATAATTTACACTTGTAATATGTCCTACCTTTTTATATGCTACTTAGAATGGCAAACCAGCTGACGGCTATCTTTTTTTTTATAAAACAGAATGGCAAACAAGCTGACGGCCCACTTGGAAAGTAGTAACCGTCGCCTATAGACATGAGCAGTACCATGGACATAACAGAGTATACTGTTTCGCCCATGATATCCCCCATGCGTTGCCATTCCTGAGGATTCAGGTGTTATTCCTCTGTACCCTGTAAAATCACGCCATATCCCACCCTTCAAACCGAAACACAGCCATGTCTCCCTCTGGTAGTTTCCACTTGATGGAAAATGATAACCGTGGCCTATAGACATGAACAGAACTTACATACACAACAACGTACACTGTTTTACCCATTATACCCCCCCCCCCCATTTGTTGCCATTGCTGAGGACTAAGATTGCCTCTGAACCCTGTAAATTCACTGTCATATTTCCACCCTTAAAACCGAAAAACAGCCATACAAACGCAACTGTTTCACAATAAATAATAATTTCGTAAGGGTCGAAAGTTTGAAATATACTTTTTTCTGAATCAATCATTGAATTTTTTTCGGGAATATTACTTAAGAAACCTAGAATTAAGTAATGGAAGCCGATAAAAAATATTTTTTATCACTGATGATATGTATCTGTTTGTCTGTTACGTGATCACGAGAAAACTTATAATCGTTAAACTACCGATAACCAGTTGAGTAAACCGTGAGATAAAATTAAAACTCACTTGTATCTGGTCGTTTTTAATTGAATTATTTTACGAAAAAATCACGTAGATTGTATTTGAATTAAAATTATCAGTCAATAAAGATAAAATTGTGAGCAGGCCTAGTTAAATACAAAACATGTACGCTTATAATTTCCAGCGTGTTCGATATCAATGTACTTCGTTGTTCTATTAATCAATCTTCCAGACTAGACCCATTTGAGAATATTGAAACTTCTGCCTCACAAGCATTAGTCACATTGGACGTTATAATCGAGTATTTACTAATTCTAATGATATAAATTTCAAACTGAGTCTGTTTATTTATTAGTTCGTTACTTCTTGGTGCCTTAACATCTAAATTTCATGTACTATTTGGGACAGAGAAGACCATAGACTAAATTTTATCCCGGTCAGTCAATATATACCGGTCATGCAGACAAAATCGCAAGTAAAAACTAGTCTATATTATACTAATTAGCAAATATAATTAACCATTCATTAAATTTTTAACCGACTTAAAAAAAATTGAGCTTCTCAATTCGGTTGTATTTTTTTATGTTTGTTACCGCATAACTCCGTTAGATTCATGCGATTTAGAAAAAAAAAAATTTTTTTAAGAATATGCTTACGAATTAGTCCCTTAGAAATTTTATCAAAATTAATTGAGTGGTTTAGTTTTTAAATCTAAATTATTTGTTTTTTGTGGAACACAATTTCAATTATTCTATTGTATTTCGCTAAGTGTCGTTTATCAAAGAATTTTGATTACATTATCAGTATTATCTTCTACGGTATTTTTTTATTTATTTATGTATTTATTACAGTTACAACACTTACTACTTACTAAAACATAGGTAACTTTGTCCAGTATATTTGAACCCAATTTTTTATATGGTACCTATCAATATGTATAGCTATATTTACTGATTGAATCATTCAGTATTATCTGAAATTTTACTAAGCAGTTATATGACAAAAATGATATCATTAATCTAATCGGTTAGACAAGGAAAACTTTACATAGTAGTTCAAGATCAAAAATAAAGTTCTAAATGCCATCGAGTAGATGTCTCTGCAATTCATAAAAATTTACTAGTATGAATAGAAAACAGTGATATTTTAGTATTTCATTATAATATAGTTGATAGAAAATGCATTTAATTATAAAGTTTATATGTAACAATTAGAATACGGGCTGTTCGTAAATGCCATTTTTCAGAACAAATCTACTTCAGCCGTTAACTGTCCACTTTACTTTCGGCTTTTCTGCATAGGCTGCTTTTATCAATAGCTGTCATGCTTTTTAGACGAGTTGGTAACCGCAGTTAAGCTTTGGTGATGTTTTAATGTAGGTACGCTGCTGCCCATCCCTAGAATTTTTTTTTTCTCTTCCCCGTCCGACCTAAATGATATGGTCGGACGGGGTAATATATTTTACCAGTCGCTTGTTTTCTCATTAATTCTTTCTCTATCATTAGGTATAATCAATCACATCCATACCTAATACTTTCACTTCACTATACATAGAAATTAATGTAAGAACTATTTACTAAACTATTATCCACATTGTTTAGGTTTTACCTATTCAGCTATATTCGAACATAACAATTCCTCATTCTTATGGTTATATAAATAATTGATGGTTCAGTCTGTGACCCAGATTGCGTAATATTTCAAAAAATAATGAAAAATTTCACTTTCCACACAATGCCGCCCATAACTGCTCGTATACACGATAGGTAATTTACCGCGAAAAGAATGTATCACACGTGAAAAAACTACATAATTCTTTAATGTTATTACTTAAGAACGAATTTTCAAGTAAAATTTACTTCCGCCTTAATAAAATTTATTGTATGTCTATAGGCGACGGTTACCACTTTCCATCAGGTGGGCCGTCAGTTTGTTTGCCATTCTAAGTTGTATAAAAAAAACTCCGGAGGCAACAACCTTTGGGTCACTGGGCTTGAAGCCGACATACACTGCTGGTCTGTGGATGTCGGCGAGGTGTCTTAAGAAATTTTCAATCCAAATAAGGAAAAATAGAGCCGATAAATGGCGGTAGGGAGCAAATAAATATACAAATAAAAGGAAGTAAAGAAGTAATATTATTATTGATGTTATAACTCTAAGGAAGAGTCTCTTATATATGGTCCATTCAAAAACCTCTTTATTAGATCCACAAGCCTTAGGCCAGGTTTGGCTGCTAAATATCCTGTATTTTTTTTATCTAACGTTAAAAATTTAATATATTAAATATAACAATATTACCTATATAATAAATGATTAATGGATATAAATATAGTGCATAGGCATAGAGTACAAAAGTCTTATTGCTAAGCAATTACTTCCAGATAGCCTTTGTATAAGAGAAATAACTAAAAGGAAGAGTAGACGGCGCTTTATAATAATAGGTACTTATTTACTTACCTGTAAACATTTTTATCATCATACGTCATAATTGAAGCGCACCCACACATGGTTATATTATTACAGAATGGTGTACTTTTATTATCTTATCAGCCTTACCTTCGCTGAGGCACCGCTCCGTGATTGTATCACACGTCTCGCCAGTATATTTTTTTGCTTTTAGCCTATATCTACCTCATAAGCCATACTTTTTTTTAATAGCAGAACTTTATTAATAGCCAAGCCAAAAGTTTATTAATAGTAAAACTTGCAATACTAGTATGTAAATGCAGTGATTTGGTGTTGACCTTTATCAGATAATTATTTTATAAAACTAATTTTAGCTCAGAAAACGTTTTTGTGACTACCTGTGTGATACACCACAAGTTGAGTTAAGTGAGTATTTTACATAAATAGACGTCATTATAAGTATGTATTTGTATACAATCCAAAACGATTTGTTACCAAAAAATATTGATAAACCATAATTTGTTCCACAAAAAAGATTTCATAAAACTTGATTAAATTAGTATGGAGGCAACATTATAGTCGCTCTATCAATTATAAAAATAAAGGGCAAAATCGATGTAGAATTGACGAAGTTACCACTCAACATACACACAAAAAAACAATCGAATAGATAACTTCCACGTTATTGATATCGGTTTAAAATTTGTTTTATATCTATCATGTCCCATAAAATATCATTGTGCCCCTTAGAGAAAGTTGATTCGTTTTATCAGTATTATAACTGAAATTTGGACATCACGTGACATCTTATATTTAAATAAACACATTACGTTTGTTTATAAATGGATATGATAATTCATAAAAAAAAACTAAATCTGATTATGTTTATAATACTTTGATAACATATGCCCTCCTTGGTAGTTCTCAGTTCGGCTCATATAGATTACTTATTTGGTATTTACTTAATACGTTCATTTTCAAGCAATTACCAAAAGGTCTCAATTCTTTTTTATTTTTAAATATATGACACTACGACTTTGCCAATTCTGGATTAATTTTCAACCAACTTCAAAAAAGGAGGGAATTCTTATTTCAATTGTAGTTTTTTTATGTTTGTTAACTTTTTTTATAAAACTTAGAATGGCAAACAAGCTGACGGCCCACCTGATAAAAAGTGGTAACCGTCGCCTATAGACATGAGCAGTACCATGGACGTAACAGAGTATACTGTTTCGCCCATGATATCCCCCATGCGTTGCCATTTCTGAGGACTCAGGTGTTATTCCTCTGTACCCAGTAAATTCACGCCATATCCCACCTTTCAAACCGAAACACAACCATGCTAACACAACTGCTTCACGGTTGAAACACGAATGGGACAGAGGTACCCAAGCAATCGACTTTTGTACAAAGTCTCCCTCTGGTAGGTTTGTTAACTCATTAATGACTATAAATGGATTTGGAAAATTCTGTTTTCATATGAAAGGATTTAGATTGATCTTTAGTTTGGTGTGATAGAAAAATCAAAATCGGTTTATTAGTTTAGTTTTTAAATCAAAATAAATGGTTTTGGCAATTGGAGCAACACCATTTATTGTGCCATGATAAATGCCAATAATACCGAAATCATCGGAATTCGATTTATTTTTTGTGGAACAAAATCTTAAATTTTTATAAACCTTTTTGTAAATTACAAAATTTTACAACCGTGTTGGTCTTATATTTGTGATGATTGATTGTGTTAGTACTCGTAGCAGTGTTTAGTAATCGAAGTAAAATTTACTTGTCAATTGAAATATTTTCAATGTAATATCCAATAAAATAAAAATAAAAAATAATAACCAAACATCTCGTAGTATATACATACTTAGATGTGTTTTGTTACTAAATTGAAATCACTGTTTTTCTGCAAAATAAAATATACATGTTATTTTTATCCTTCATTTCATTCATATTTAACTTTGTTGTAACAGTAATGTTATAAATATAAATAACTTTATAATATTAGACTTATTTAATTTAAATTAACACAGGCACGAACACCTCGCTAAATGTAGTATGTAAATGTTGCAAAATACCGGTTTGTCGCAGACACCGACGATGTCTCAGACCTACCTATGTCAAAGTTGTTAAATTAGTCAAAGTAGAATATACATATATATATACATATATGTGACAAGCTTATTTTTAAAGAAGCGATATAAATAAATAGGTTTATTTGGGATCAGTTATAATGATATGTTATTATAATCCGTTTCAATACAACTTAATGAAACCGTTGTCAAGAATATATCACAGAAACACTGTCTTAATATAATTAATTAGTATATATTTAATAAATTTAAATTTACTTTCGGCATGGAATTGGCCACCCCTTTTTCCCCTAGGAGCCGTAAGAGGCAACTAAAGGAACTTCATGGTCGAGAGATGAGCAGCAGCATCCTTCTTAAAACATCACTAAAAGCCTAACTGCGATCACCAACCCGCCTGCCAAGTGTGGCAACCTGGCAAAACCTCCCATACGTAGAAGACCTATGTTCAGCAGTGAACAGTAGATGGGCTGATATGATGATAATGATGATTTTATCAAATGATTTTGTTATTTGTATTTCTATTAGACATCAACTGTCTGCTATGAGTCAATTATTCATTTTTTCACATTTTCGTTAAATTCTATTTAAACAGACTATAGATAATTATAATAATACCTACGAGACGAGCAGTGCACTATTTTAAAAATAGTCCATACCTATCAATAGATTTTTTTATTCTACTAACGTATATATTACAAACAGAGACTATATACAATTTTATTTGCCAACTCTAATCGTCACTGCCGTGGACAAAAGCCTTGTATGGGTACCGTGCCTTATTGTTGCCGATGTGAAAGTGCATGCAACTTTCTATCATAAATTTCGAATGCATTGTCTAATCAAACGTGTAGTGATTCAGAACTGTCCACTAACATTTATATTATATACTCGCTAAATATGATATTAGGTACAGTAACGTGACAAAAAAAAAATCTTTGAGATAACATTAATTTTCGTACGTGTAGTAGGAAAATGGGGGCTATATCTAACGTTCAGATTTAAACAATAAATATAATAAGAAATATAAGGATATATAAATATAGGAAATACACTTCATACTTCATTATTATAATGTATAAAATTATTTATCTGATCGAAATATCGAAATAAATCAGACAAATTATCATAGTTTATCTAAATAATCGCGATAGTTCCTTAAAAATCATAAATCACGTAACGCGAAAAGTTAATTCTATATTTCCTTTCATTATCTAAAGTCTAATTTATTAAAACCCAAAAATTATTACTATAAAGTATACAATTAAAATGAGTTTTACCTTGCATTTGGCACCACTATTTCAAGATAAATTAAACAGTATATATAGATAGTTCTTAATAGAAAAACCATAACTTCAGAAAATATACCACACCAGCCCCATCAAATAAAGAAAAATAAGACAGTGATGATATAGGTAGGTACCCATTTGTATGTATGCCATAGAGTAGATAAACTCTTTGATTGTATTAAATAAAATGAATAATTCCTGAAAATAAACGCTGCAACAATATTTTTATCGTATTTGGATAATATTCCTATTAAGAATACGATCAAAACAAAAGTATAACAGTACTATTAAGACTATCAACGAGGTTAACAGTACTTGTATTCAAAGAGATAAATAAATCTTCGTCCGACAATCATAATTATTGAAGACGAATTATACAATAGGTGGGCCATTGCCAAACGCCGCAGAACTAAGGAAATATGCAAAACAAAGCAAGTATATGGATTTTTCCTTTTATATAATATATATATATGTACCTAGAACTGTCGAGATTATTGTAAGAGTACAAAGTATTATTTAAAAATACGTGTTACCTACCAATAATATTGTAATTTAATACACGTATAAATTGTCTATATTACCGTCAACATTATTAACATACATCAATGGATGATGTCAGAGAAACTTTGTCATTGCTGTTATTTATTAGAAGAAGTGCCTACATAGGTAAAACTCTTAGATTATATAGATAGTATCTCCATAGAAATGCTTCGAGAAAAAGGGGTAAATTTTTCATACAATTTCCATGATAAATAGTTGTGAGTGATTCCTTTATATCTTCAATATTTAATTTGTTTTATAAATTCTGCATCTTTTTAATGCATAAACACACATTTTATTTAGTAAATAATAAATACGTCGAGATATTTTATGCGTAAACATATAGAATACTGATAAAAAAAACGAGTCAGCTAATTTGACAAAAAGTTGACCCGTTTTTGGGGCTCAATGCTCTATCTATATAATCTTGTCTCGACTGAAATTAGTTGTTTTGTTGAAGCTTATATGGCTATTATATATTTGACTACTAATTTACGCTAGTGCCGTACAACTAGGTGTCTAAATAAATAGGCATCTTTATCTGTATATAGATATATTGCATGATAAGATGGCCCATGTTATTCTATAAAATCTTTAACAAAATAAGATAATAAATTTCAATTGAACTTCGAATATTTATTAGTGTAGGTACGTATGATAGTTTAATAGTGCCTGCGGTTCTCTACAAATGCTACATGTAGGTCACGCCGAACGTCAAATGTACCTAAACTATGTAATGTTTATTTTATATCGGTACTACATAATATTTTTGTATGTTAGTTATGTGTACGTATACTTGAACAATTACTTCATTAAATTAAGACACCAAAAGGTGAAAAATCTTAAATTCACATATTCCATATTATTAAAAAAAGTCATACGCTTAATATAATGATTTTGAATAATGACACTGCGACATTGAATATTTGTATTGTAACGTATTCAACAACAGATGACCATTCTGAAAATAAATTCGTTAAAGCTACATTAACAATACAATATAGGTACTTAAATTAGTTTATGACCGAAACTTATCTGTGCATATTAAACGTTGGTGTTCTTGAATTCGATTTTTATGTAGTTATCTACATAGCAACCGCCTTCCTTTATGTTTTAAAAGATTTACTACGATCGTCTCCACCCACGTTTATTTCTCGTTCAATTTGTAACGGTAAACAAACTGTTTCTGAACAATGCTACGTATTATGAATTAAAACGCAACACATTATGACCTATTGTTAACTCACATGGCGCAATTTTTCGAAAATAAAAAGTCTTATTCTATTGTTTTATACTACTATTATTTCAATAGGTCTACTACCTAGATTACCTAGATTGGAGTATTAGTGTATACTTAGTAATTGCTAATAAATTACAAACTCTTAATTATTATTTTTGTATCATTACAGAGTTCGCTACAACACGACATGGGGGCGAAGTCCCGGGAGTTTTTACTGCTCCTGGCAGTATGCGCTCTAGCGTTCGGAGGATCTGTCAACAAGACAACCAAAAAAATCAATGAGTCTGATGATTTCATAGAACAGTACGAGGACTATGATGCCGGTCAAGAACAGGAAGTTCTCTTTAATGAGGACAAACCCTGTCCCAGAGACTGCTTATGCACTGTATCCCAAGGATATAGAATAGCTAAGTGCAATCGTCTGGAAATCGGCACACAGAAATTTGGTAATGACATTACAGATCTTGTGGTCGAAAATGCAGAATTCCCCATTGTTCTCACTGAACAAATATTTAAAAATCTAGGTCTTCACCAAGTTGCAACCATAAAAATTGTAAACAGCACGATCGAGTCAGTGGACCCTGCTGCATTCCGTGGTCTAGAGGAATTGTACGCGCTAACTCTATCTAATAACCAACTTAAGAGGATACACCCTAACACTTTCATTGAGAACAAAAAGTTATTGCTCTTGACACTCTCCAATAATCCACTGAAACTTCCTCCAACTGGTTCAACTGATTATTTTTTGAATGCCTCCACCGTACAAGAGCTCATTTTATCTAACTGCAACATACAATATATAAGTGCCAATGCCTTCCAAAATATGCCAGGGCTTATGTATTTAGATTTATCTAAGAACGAATTGTCTGGAATGGATGCTGATACATTCAAGAAACTTTTGGATTTAGAAGAGATCGATCTAAGTGACAATAACATAAAATCGCTACCTGATGACATATTCTCTGAAAACACTGAGCTTGCTACGCTCCACATCGACAGGAACCCCATTGACTCTGTTTACGGCTTACAAATGTCCGAATTGCTTACTCTTACTGCTGGACAAACTAATATTAAATTTATTGGACCGTCTATGTTCAATGGAATGACATATATTGCCAATCTTAACCTCAGTGGAAATAATATTGAAAAAATTCATAATCAAGCATTCCATAAATTAGTCGAACTGAACTATCTCGACCTCTCCTATAATAATCTTACATTCATTTCTAGCGTTCTTATTAAAGAAAATATCGAACTGGATGTTTTTAAAATTTCGAATAATCCAAAACTGAAACATTTGCCTACTGATGGCTTCAATTGTTCTGCAGATCAATTCAATATTTATGCTTTTGATGCGTCTAATTGTGGTCTCGAGGAAATATTTGACAATTCTTTAATGACTTTCACAGCTCTAACTACGATTAACTTGTCTGGAAACAAAATTCAGTCTATAAACAACAAAGTATTCTCTTACTGTCCCAAATTAGTTGAAATTAATTTGGCGTACAATATGCTGAGAACTCTAGATAATAAAATTTTCCAGAATAACGAAGAGCTTAGTAAACTATATCTTCAAGGCAATCCATTAAAAGTACTCTCAGCGGAAATATTTGTAAATACACCATCTTTAACATTACTTGATGTAAGTAACGCAGACTTGACCTCTCTCTGGAAAGAAGATAAAAATCTTCCAAAAGAACTTCTGAGCCACTTGAATTTCTTAAACATTTCACACAACCGCATAACTGAATTGAAAGAATCTGAAATTATTAGTTTTGAAAAACTACGAACTCTAGATGTTACCAACAATCCGTTGACATGCAGTCATGAGTTCGAAAACCTAATGATTTGGTTGAATAAGCACAAAGTTTCACCTAGTTCTAATAAGGCCAGCATTGCCAATTTAGGTAAAGATGCCAAGGAAGATGACTTCACGTTTAGCTGGGAATTCCTATCACGTAAAACATGCAGTAATGCTAACTTCCTGCATGCAGTAGAACCTTTACCGGCTGTCTCTGATGAAGAAATATGGGAAAGGATTGACAAAGACAACGTGGGTAATTTCGATCTGAAAAATACTTTAGGAGATGATGTATCAATAGCTGAAGATGAACCTAAAGTAACTGAAAACAAATTGAGTGCTGACACCAACGCTATTGATGACGAGCTTAAGAATAACGATGATCTTAAAAATGACGATGATACATATGACGATGATGGAGATGAAGATGTAGACGGAGATGACGATGGTGACGAGGATTCTGAAGAAGAGTATGATGATGCTGATGATGATGTCGATCTCAAAGTAAAACTCATCGAAAAACGACCTACACCAAAACCAAATCCACCCAAGGTTGCTGTAGAAACTACAGAAAAGGAAAAGATTAAGATCGATATCAAACTTCTAGAAAACGATATTTATGACGAGTTAGAGCCTAAAGATTACAAGCAAGCGAGTGTAATTGAAGAGCACGGCCATTACGATTACCTGTGGCCAATGTTAATATCTATACTTTGTGTTCTAGTACTCCTCCTCGTTATCGCAAAGGTCGTCATGGTATTATGCAAAAAGCGAACGAAGCAGATGAGATATAACAGTGCCATAATAGCTGCCATGACCCAACCAGGTCGTACAAAGAAGGATTGCGGTCTGGTGTACCAACAGCTGTCAGAAGACCTGACAGGTCCAGCGACGCCTAAACTCAACCGCTACACTCCGCTGCACAGTGTAACAGTCAAGGCTTCCAACATGTCGTACGAGAGCAGTCCTTTCCATCACAGCAATATTGTGCCTGAAGCAGTTTGAACCGTATGGTACAAAACATCACATTAGAGTTTAAATAAACTAACAACTGCCTTATTTCTTACATGAGCAGTACGTGATCGAAATAAGCGCTAGTCATAAACAAAAAGTTGAACATTTTTAATATACAGTGCCTTCAACGACCATTTTCGAACAACGTCGACCAATATTATATTAACTAGCGCATCTAAAAAGTAACAAGTCAAATTCAACAAATTAATTTAAGATATACATATTACTATATATTATACAAATTAGTTGATAGGTTTATTTTATGTACTTAAAAATAATAAAAATTAAACACTAAATCGCTTTTTTATTTTAACTGTACTTTCTGTCCTGACATAGTACTTAGTAAATAACACAGATAGGAAAATTATAAAACAATTATTTATAAAATATATTTATTTCCATTATAAAAACAGTACATTGATAACTATTATAATGTAAATTTATATGATAGTAACAGAATATAAAAAAAAATATTTTCATTATTTTATATATTAAATTACAATATATACTAGTATATTATCAAGTCTTAAATTGAAATTTAATTCGTAATTACATCAGTTTATAACGAAGCACGTAGTTAACGAAGGTGCGCACGCAAAGAATAGAGACTTATTAATTCGATCAAAATAATATATATATATATATATATATATATATATATATATATATATATATATATATATATATATATATATATATTATTTTTTGATATAAGTAGAGAGATACGCGGTTTTCTCTGCCTGCCCCTGAACGGAACTGGTGTGAAAGTAGATACAGTCATATTATGGCACGTTTATATAAAAAAAATACTTATAAAATATGCAAATAGTTGCTTCGTATAAGAAGTATAATTTAAACATTTGTATCTCTTCATGAGTTCCATACAGTAAAATCAGAAGATAGTCAAAGAGTCTTCTAACATTTTAGACAAATCTTCTTCAGATTGTTGCAATGGCGACATTTTCAACAAGCGTTGCTGAAAATAAATATATTTTTATTAGATGCAAGTGAAAGAAGTAGTACATAAAAATGTGGGATAATTCCTTAGATTATATAGATAGAGCCTCGAGCCTCAAAAGTAGTGACTTACTTTTGTCAGTTAATCGTGAAATTACCTGACTTTTTTTATCAATGTTCTATATACTTACGCATACAATGTATCTTGACTTATTATTGTATAAATAAAATTAGTATTTACACATTAAATAGATGCGAAAGTTATAAGACAATAAATATAGAAGTTATAAAGGAATCACCCATAACTATTTATCACGCAAAATTGTATGAAAAAGCTGACCCGCTTTTCCCAAAGCATTTGTATGGAGACACTCGTATCTACATAATCTAAGGATAAATCGTTTACGAGAGCAACTATTTTATACTCTAATCTATCGCAGGTTCAGCACATTCGTATTTTAAATAAATTTTAGACTAAAACAACATTTAACAAAGTTCTTCGCGAATACAGTCGAGCAACTAAGAATAATACAAACATATTTAAAGCTGAGCTACAATTGCAAAATAGATTGCATGGTTTTTTGAAATTTATTTTCATACAGTCAATGTGACTTGCTCATAATATAGTTTTCAATACATAAAAGAATTTTTAAAATCGGTTACGCAGTTTATCCATTACAAACATCAAATCTTTCCTCCTTATAATATTAGACAAATCGCACATTGACGATAGCAGTACGAAGCGGCGGTGACGTGGGATCATAGATTATATAAAAACTGTCTTCGTACAAATATATACTGCACCAAAAACAGGTCAATATTTTTATCCATGTGTGCATTTGCATTGTAGTGTACATTTGCTACAACAAAATAAAGAAATAGCCGCTATTTTTATGGATACATGTATATTACTTTACAAGCAACACAATATTTATATTTTTTTGATGGGTCAAATTGTAATGGTAACCCCGCCTGCGCTAACGGGATACGCTGGCGGAGCACCAGTGAAGGGTGATAGACGAGAATGAAAACAGGCCAGTTAGCCCATTCTGATGAATTCATCAGGAATTAACTATGATAGTTTCCAGTGGTCGACAGGCGAGGAGGTCAACCTGGTTGGGTATATTGCTAGCAATGGGATTCTCAGTCTCCATTACTAACAATCCCTTTTCCCCCATATTTACATTATATTAGAAAAAAAAGTTAAATCGACCTGATATAGAAAATGTTTAATTCAATTACTTGTTACACTAAAAAAAGGTTTTGTGTTGATTAAAAAAAGTTTGTTAAACTCCAAATTAACTGATTAAATTTGGATTCGTTTTTAATACTCGATGCTCTATCTATAAGATCTAAGCATGGGATATTCAAAGTCATTTTTTAGTAACCACCTACATCTTATAAAGAATCTAACAGTCAAAAAGATTTATAGTTTATGAGATGTGATTAACCTGACAAAGTAAAAAAATAACTGTTATAATAGAAATCATAATATTACATACCTGAGGCAGAGCACCTTTCACCAGCTTCGGAATGTCTTCCGATGTGTATCCAAGGCTACTCAATCCATTTTCAATCTTCATGGTGTCCATGTACTTCAATATCGTATCGGACAATATTTCGCCGGCGTCTGCCTTCTTCTTGCCAGTGACTTCAGCTCCTAAGAGGCCAGCAGCTTCTAAATGCTTATCAGGGTCACTTGACGCGGTATACCGAAACACAGCAGGCGCTGTCATTACCACTGACAATCCGTGGGGTATGATCGGGTCTTTGCTGTGGAAATTTATTTTAACCTAAATTTATTTACCACACTAATATAATAATATAAAAATAATAAACACACAAGCAAACCAATTAAGTTACTGATACAGAAATATTTACGAAATAGGTATTTTTTTATGGATGATAATGAAATAGTAACCCCATCTGCGCTAACGGTATACGCTGGCGGGGCACCAATGAGGGATGATACATGAGAATGAAAAGGCAGATCAGTTACCCCATCGTGATAATCCCATCTTGGAATTCAGCACGATAGTTTCCAGGTGGGACCACGGAGTGGTTGACCTGTTAGGGTATATTGTTAGCAATGGAAGTGATAATCCGCATTACTAACAATCCCAAAAACAGGTCACACGAAACTCTATTATAAAGACCGAATCTATAGTAAATATATTGGTTACCCATAGTCCTTAGGCACGAACGATTTCACATTTCCAGCAATAGGATAAGCTAGCCCATGACACAAGTGGACCCCTGCGTTGCCTATGCCCACGCCGGCCATAGTCGCCGCCAAATGCATGTATGACCGTGCTTCGATGTCATCGGCGTTGTATACAGCGCGGGTAAAGTATTTCTGGAGAGTCTGTAAGTATAAAGTTAATAGCTGTCAACATCATCATATCGGGGGGTATCATAGTAATGGGGTCAAAGAGCCCTATTACTAGCAATATACCCTGTCAGGTCGACTTCCACGTGGTTCCCCCTGGAAACCATCGTGACTAATTCTAGTTTAATTCGTCAGGATGGGCTAACTGACCTACTTTCATCTTCAACTGTCATCCCTCACTGGTACCCCGCCAGTGTATACCGATAGCGCAGACGGGGTTACCATACCATTATCACCCATTAAAAAAAACATCATCATATCAGCCGTTAACTGTGCTGAATAAAGGCCTCCTCCTATTATGGGGTTTTGCCAATAGTTGCTACGCTTAATAAGCGTTGGCAATCACAGTTAGGCTTTGATGATGTTTAAAAAGGGACACTGCTGGCCATTCCTTGGCAATTATTTTTCCTTAATCGCATCTTATAATACCCACGGAAAAGGGAGAGGTGGCTCATTCTATACTGGAACCACACGTAGGTAATAACTGAATCTCCCAATAATTGGAACAAACAGTATTAAATATATTAATTTAGAACATAATGAAATAAAATTTATATTGCTAGAATGTAGGTAATTTTTTTATGAAAGAACTTGACAATTCCCATATACATTCTGCTTATATGTCAGCATGCAACTGTTTAACAATATAAGAAATTTACATATACATATATTCTACATTATATTTCCATATTCTACATTATTAGTCATATAACCCCTTATTTGGTAATAATTATATATGATTCAGTAATAAACTAAAAAATGTTGTTTATTTCTACCATCTGAATGTATGTTCTTTTAGTTTGTTTCATATATATTGTTGTTCTGATATTAAATAAATTTGAAAGAATACATATGTAATACCTAAAAAGTCTCCAAACATTTTTTACTATTTTATAATATTAGGAAAATGAGAGGCTAAACGCGGAAAATAGAGTCCAATTTAAATTTACATAATATTAGGATGATTTTTTAACACATTATAAAAAGAGTTTTTTTAAATCCTCTGCAATCTAGTGAAACCTATACAAATATAAATAAAATCTTATTTATATATTTTTTACTACTATGTCATCATCATCATCTTTCTACCTTTATCCTAAATATTTATTATCTTTATTAAAATTATAAATGACAAAATGAGTTTGTGCATCTTAACAGCTTACATTAAAGCACTAAGATACAAGGCAAACAAAGCAATTTTATTTAATTATAGAATGAAGAAGAACATAGTCTGATTTTCATCCTAGCCAGCGAACATAATTTGGTCACACAAACCAAGTCGCGTGTAAAAGCTAGTATTATAACAACAGCCTGTCTGATGGAAAGTTATATTGACTTTGTATCTAGATAATATAATAATAACTAATTATCTAGATATTATAATAGTAAATATACTAGATAAGTAACTTTGTTTCATGTAATTGGTTACATATACCTACATGTAAACAAAATCGCGCCCATACGTCCGATATTGGATTGCTTCCTTGATAAGCTGGTCGCAAAGCCGGGTTGGACGGCGCAGGCCCTCTCTCCGTATACGGAATGGCAGTAAAACTCTCCAGAGCATGGCAAAATATGTCGAAGCCCGCATAATTGGAGACCTTCTCTGGCAAACTTAGAGTGTGAAGTGGGTCTATGATGGCTAGGAGAGGGCGCAGAGCTGCGTGAGAGATGCCAGTCTTGGTGTGAATATCTTCGAAGTCAAATATAGCGGCTCCTGTCGTTTCACTACCAGTTCCACTTGTTGTTGGTACTGAAATATAGTATAAAACATACATTATACTTCATTATCTTTATTTGATTAATCCAACTTGAGATCGTCATAAAATAGTTGAAGCAGATTAGGTTGTAAACTATCATAAGGTAGCTATATGCACTAGACATATTACAAATTATTTTCATATTTTAGTAACATTTTCCATAATGATAATTTGCAACTAATAAATGCCAAGTATCTAATCATAATAAACTTTTTTTATTTGTTTATTTTATAATAATCAGTTGACTTACTTGCAATCATTGGCTTCAAAGTGACATCAACAGGCTTTCCTTTGCCAACAGGTGCATTTACATAGTCTAAAAAGTCAGCATCTGGATCACAGTAGTATAAGTTGGCAGCCTTGCATGTATCCATAACTGAGCCCCCACCAACAGCCACAAAGCTGTCAAACTGACCTTCTTTGACAAACCGTGTTGCATCTTTAAAGCTAGTAAAAACAAATAGCACTTATTCATACTGTCTTATTATTTTTTTACAAACAAATTGAAACTCGAAAAATCACAATTTTTTATACAATCACTGCCTGAATAAACCCTACACATGAGGGGCCAACTTAGGGGAAATGCTTTTAGACTACTTTTTATTTTAAAAATATTACCCATTTTTGTTCAGTAATTAGTTGTATTTATGTATGCATATCCAGATCTATGTTGCAACATACATCCTAAAGGATTTGATGGATTTTAATAAATAAGGTACCATTTACTTCAATATTTTAATTGTGGGAGGTCTATAGGCTACATGACAACAATAGGTATTAATCTGATATAGTAGCCATAAACTAAAATGCTTATCTTACATTTGGGTTATCACATTCATTTTATTATTATAGAGAGAATAAAGTGTGTTCTGTTCTTTTATTATTATGCAATACAATTATCAGTATTCTATATTGACATGAAAAAAAAAACAAAAACTCTGTACCTTATCTGCTTAAGTATCCAAGATATATAAAACTATGCCATATCACAACCATCTGTATTCATACTACTTCTAATTATTAGGTATGGTACTCTCATGGATTAAAATTTATTGAAATTACCTTGAATCTGTTGGTTCCACCCTAACTTTGTCATAAACCTTATAGTTTATACCATTTTTAGTGAGGGAGTTCAGCACAGCCTTTACAGGGTTCAATGATACAAGATTGGGATCTGTCATAACACAGACATTTTTTGCTCCAAGATTCACAAGGTCTAGACCAACCTCTCTTGTTACACCTAATCCATATCTTACAGTGGAACATTTTATCTGAAAATGCACATAACAAGACTATTTGTAACTATAAATAAAATTGATACATGTGGATTTTGGAAGTAGAAAAACCAATTAAATACGAGTAGACTTCTAGGTAGAACACAACTATGAATACCACATCCAATTTGATGCAGTAATTTTTGCATGTAAGTATAAGGATTAATCTTGTTATAATAATTAATGAATACAATATTTTTAAATACACAATCAGGATTTAGCAGGATGAAAAAGCATTTACAGGTAAATAGTACCTACATAAAATTAACCAATGATTTAAGATTTCCATCACAGAATCACATGAGTATAAGATAATACACATTAAATGTTATGTCTAGTACAGAAAAGTTGAATATCTATACTATCTATAAATATAAAGAATTATTATGTATAGTGACTGACCTACCCTTGTCTGAATTTACCATAGAATTAGTATATAACAACCATAATAATAAAATATAACACCTAATTTAAATACCAGCAAATTAGTGCAAGTTTTCTACCACATGAGCCAAACATTAAAATTAGTACATATAAAGCTATTACAGTGTAGTATTTTGTCTAAGTTGTTTGCTTCAACAAAGACTACAGTATAATTTCACCATTTCTACTCATCTATCAAATGGAATATATATAAAAAAATGTTTATAACAATAAAAATGTTTGTAACAATAATGTATGTACCTCAAAAGCATAATCCTTTAATGGTGTAACATTAGACACCTGGATATTTCCTCTGTAACCATGTGCTGGACATTGGCAGCTAAAATAAAAAAATATAATAAGTAAATTAAAATTAAATTAAATATTCCCGAGTTATAAAATGTGTCCCATACAAGCAAACTATGCAAACATAATATATGGCAACTATTTTACTTTGAAAGGATTGAAAGAGTGATCTCAAAAGGCAGTCAATAGATCTAGGCAGTCTAATAAAATAAACCTATGTTCAGCAATGGACAACAGATAGGATTTTTTTTATGAATAAAAATAGCAAGATTAAAAGTAAAGAGCCTAAGTATAGAGGTCTAGATTGTCACAGCCAGCTATAAAATCTAATAAATTCTAGGTCTAGCATTAGTTGTAAATATCATTTCATCTGTTAACTGTCCACTGTTGAACATAGGCTTCCCCCATAAGGGGGGTTTTGCCAGTAGTTGGCACGCTTAGCAGATTGGCAACGGCAGTTGGGTTTTAGTGATGTTTTATGGGCAATGCTACTGCCCATCCCTCGACCATCAAGTCCCTTTGGACGCTTCTTACTACACCCAGGAAAAAGGATGAGATGACCCATTCTTTGCTGGGATCATACGGCAAGTAGTTGTTATTAGTTAATGCATAGACACAATTTGCCATAGTACCTGTATAAGGTTATTTTACTCACAAGAATTCTGTATTAAAGCAACTGAAATCTGCGTCTCGCTCGACCCTAATAACTTGTTAGAAAATAAAAATAGTAAAAATTGTTAGGAAATTGTTATTGTTGTTATATTTTTTTTAATAAAAATTTAAAGGCAGAAGTATTAATGTAAATAAAATGTAAAAATACTTACGCAGCCGAGTTGATAGTCCTTAACAAATCGAGAACTCTATTGCGCGGAATCATGTTGACAATCACAACTTCAACAAATTAAATTATAAATTTATTTATATTTTTTGCATCAGTATGTTTGTTTATTTTCGTACTTTGAACAAGTGATGACCCTGAACGATCCACTGATAACATCATTGATAAGAACCGAGCAAAAGAAACATTTTTTTTTTTTTTTTTTTAGTACGTTTGTTCCGTTTGGAACAGGCTAAGGTCGGAGACCATGCTGCCTAGTCTTCAAAAAGATAATTTGTCTGGAATTTTATTTTTCTAATGTCGCTTCAATTATTGTCATAATCTTCAATATTTCATTTGTCAAATCCGGTAAGTACATTTTCATAAATATCTTTTCTTGAGTTTTCTTAAACCAGTGGATTTATCAAATTAAAAATAAATAATTATAAAAAATCATTGTCTTGCAATTCAATAAAAGTATTCTTATAGCTCCTTGAATGTTGTAGTAATATAAGTGAAAATAGCTTTGAAACAAGAAGGAAATCTTAAGAGAAGCGGGATTGAGTGCGGGATATTTTCGGGTTTTTTGAAGATAATCCTAAGTTCGTCAAACATAATGTGTCTTTGAATGACAAATTCAGAGCAATCAAAAAAAGGTGATGTAGAGATTGGGCTGTATTTGAGTTACACCATGTGCATGATGGGGAAGCGATCATGCCCATTCGGTGCAGGTGTTCGTTGAAATGTCCGTGGCCGATTCGTAATCTACAAATATTGGTGTAAAATTTTCTGTTTGTGTCCTTTCCTTTGCAGAACCACGGTTTTCCAATACGCCAATTAATTTTGCGGTACCATTTGCCTTTAGTCTGTAATATTTGAGTCCAATGCTCCTCCCATTTAGTTGTAACGATTTTATGTATTCCAATACTACAATCTGAGTAACAAAGGGGTAAATCTTGAACACGAGCAGCACTTGAATTAATAATTTTAGCCAAAGTGTCTACTTGTTCATTCCCAAACACTCCAATATGTGAAGGGGTCCAGATGAAGATAATATCTTTTCCATATATAGTACAGAGATGATAATATTTATTACGAATTTCTTGAATTAAGTAGTTTGATGATGAAATGAATGTGTTATTTTTTAATGCCATAAGAACACTCATACTATCTGTAATTATAATCCATTTCGAATATAGTACCTGTTTTTCTATGTATTCTAATGCTAAAAATATAGCTTTTGCTTCTGCTGTGTAAATACTAGCCAAAGTTGAAATTTTATAACCGTGACCAAATCTATTTGACAAATCGTAAAAAGCCACTGAAGTGCTAAGTGCATTTTTGGAACCATCTGTATATATCTGCCTGTAGTCAATAAATTCTGATAAAGTCTCATACATATCGTGCTTTTCTTTTATGTCTTTACGTATAACAATTTTGATCTTACAGAACTTACTCTCATAAAGGCCATTATAACAAGGAAGTATCTTACTACTATAGATGTTATATTCATCTCGTAAATTCAAATCATTGACAATAGTTTTATTCAAAAACATAGAAATGGGGCAATTTAATAATTTGAGTATGAGTGGGTTATTGGAAACTGAAAAAACTTTGAAGAGAAATTTGAGTTTTAGGTATTCGAAACGAAGAAGGATAGGAGGCAAATTACATTCTACTTGCATTGAGATAATTGGAGAAGTATACATAGCACCTAAAATAAGTCTTAAATTCATATTTTGAATTTTTTCGAGTTTTTCTACTAATTTATGTTCTGAGGCATAACAAAAGAAAGCGTAATCAAAATTACTTCTAACAAGAGATTTGTAAAGTAAAAGGATAATTTTAGGATCAGCTCCCCAGTTACGACCAATTACAGATCTTATTATATTAGTGGCTCTTAAAGCACGATCTACTAAGCAATCAACGTATAGATCCCATTTTAAATTTTGATGAAAAATTACCCCAGAAATTTAACGCTACAGTCTGTTGGAAGAGTTTGATTATTATATATAATATTCATTAATGGAACATATTTATGAACTTGATGAAAAACAACTACTTTACTTTTGGTTAAACTAATATCGAGGGAAAGAAGAGAAAAATATTTCTCAAGTCTTTTTAATGACTCATTTAACACTAATTGCATATCAATAATATTCTTTCCTTTTATATAAATTAATAAATCATCGGCAAATTGCAAGTTGTTCACACTGTTTCCTAAAATTGAATTAAGTTTATAGATATATAAAATATATAGTAGCGGGCTTAGAATACCACCTTGACATACTCCTTTAGAGCTTAACCTAGGTCCTATTAATTTACTATTTACTTTAACATACACTTCTCTATTACTAAGAAAATTATAAATCCATTCGATAAGTTTCATTGGAAGAAATGAGGATAAAATCGAAGATAGAACTGTTAAATTTACATTGTTAAAAGCTCCTACGACATCTAAAAAAACAGATAGAACATATTCATCGTTATTCAAAGCAGTACTAAGGTCGACATAGAAGTTCGCTAAACTTTCGCGCGCTGAATATCCACGGCGAAAACCAAATTGATTCGATGGTAATATACTATTACTTTCAATAAAGAACTCTAAACGCTGTTTAATTAATTGTTCGAATAATTTGCCTGCACAGGACGTCAATGTTATAGGTCTATAGGAGTCGAAATTTGTAGGATCTTTACCGGGTTTTATTACTGGAATCAAACAATCCATTTTCCATTCTGGTGGGATAATACAGTCCTTCCATAAATCGTTAAAAATTTGTAAGAGTTTAGTAAGGTTTATTTTATTCAGCAATCGAAACATATTGTATGTTAAGCGATCAAGGCCACTAGCTGTATCTTTTCTAGATTTTACTGCACTGGATATTTCATCAATTGAGAATGGGTCAGTGAGAAATTTTGGGCATGAATTAACAGAATTAAACTGTTTGTCATCAAAAGGTGAGTGTACAAAATCAGGAGTATATTTGCGTAAAAAATCATTGACCCATGATATATCTTTAAAATGATTTTGACGATGTTTTGAATTTAGTTTTCTCATATTTTGCCAAACAGTGGAAATTGGTGTTAATCTATTAAATTTGGAACAAAATTCCTGCCACCCCTGTTGTCTTACTTGCTTAATTACTAACTTTTTAACAGCTTGAACTCTTTTAAAATTTATGTAATTATCGAGAGTTGGATTTTGTTTAAACCTAAGGTAAGCCGCTTTACTATCATTGACAGCTGTCGCACACCTGTTATTCCACCAAGGTACTGCAATATGTTTGTGCCTCTTTGAAGTATTTGCACCGCTATTTGATAAGTTCCTACGTGGAACGGAACGTTCCACAGCTGTCAAAATAATTTTACAGAATCTATTGTAATTGTTTAAGGGTTCATTGACATCATACTCGAAATCCAAAAGTAATTGATTAACAGTTTCAGAATAAAGATCCCAATTAACGAGACGTAGGTTTATACGATTTAACAAAAGTTTATTAACTTCATCTATAGGAGCATGTTGTTCACCTGACGGAGTTGATGAAGAGTTCTTTGTGTTTATTTTAGTAAAAGTCGGCAGGTGATAACTTCCTAACGGATCATCATGAACCGACCACTCGCATTTTAATGATATGGATGGGGATACCATAGTTAAATCAAGGCCATTGGGTCTCCAAATATGAGAGCCAACAGTAGTAACTTGCTTATCATTTAATAGTACCAAATTACATTCATCTAAACAATCAAGAATGTCTTTACCTCTTGTATTAGTGGAGGTACAACCCCACATAGTATGATGTGCATTTAAATCTCCAGATATGATAGTGGGTTTAGGAAGAGACTCCAAAAAGAACTTAAATTTGGCTTTAGTAAAACTAGGTGTACTATTGGTAGGACAGTAAATACTGGCAACTGAATACCAAGAATTATTAACTTCAATACTAATAGCTATAGTTTGCAAAGAATTGTCGAAAAAGAGTGAAGTTTTTTATATCTAATACTATTATGTATAATAATCGCTACTCCATTGTGGTTATTACCACAATCATTTCGTTCTATACAATAATCTTTAATTTTTAATTTGTAATGTGGTTTTAGCCAAGTTTCTGAGATGAGAGCAATGTGAATATGATGTTCATTTAAAAATTGTGTAAAAATATGTCGATTGCTCAGTAGGCTCTGAGCGTTCCACTGTATGATAGTTAATTGGTCTCGATTGAATTTTGTGAAATAGGTCTATTACCAAAAGTATCATATAACACATTCAAAACACTTTTAGTGTTAATAGATGTGTTCTTTGTGTTATGTAGTGAAATAAGTTTGATTATGCTTTCTATTAAAAGTGATAAACTCTTGTTATCAGAATTTAGAATTGAAATTAGGTCTACATTTTTTTTAGGTTTGTTACCCAGTTTAGGAAATATTTCAGTGCTAAGTATATCTCCAAAAGAAGCAGGTCTGAATTTAGATCTATTTTCAGCAATTTTCTTTTGTTTAACAGGGCATTGCGGTGATACACTTGTGTGATTTCCATTGCAGTGTACACAAATAGCGTTTTCCATTCCAGTTGTACAAGTTTTATAATTATGCTCACCTTTGCAGATGCTGCAACGCTCAGAATTCTTACAGAATTTAGCTAAATGTCCATACCTCAAGCACCGGTAGCATTGTTTAACTGGTGGTATATATGGAGTGACATTGTGGCGCCAACCTCCAATATCCAGATATTCAGGTAATACAGATGCAGCAAAAGTAATTGTCACGGTTAGAGTTGGCTGTAACACATATCCATGAGTCAAGGTATTTTTTCTTAAAATTCTTTTAATAGCAATAATTTTCTTAGAACTCGATATCATAGTATATATTTTTTTATTAGATATATTTGTAGGTACATTTCTAATAACGCCTGTAACTTCTGTTGAAGAAGCAGGAATACTGGCCTTAAAATGGTAGTCATTTAAAAAAGTTTTATTATTTAAAAAAGCATTGGCTAAGTCTGGCTTTTGAAAGTATACTCCGATTTTGAATTTATTTATAGATCTAAGATAAGTTACCCCTTTATTAAATCGTTTTAAACAGGAGGAGAGTGAGAGCAAGTCTCTGGATCCAATGGTTTTCTGACTATCTGAGGATTCTACAAAGACAACAAATTCTGTCCCAGGGGATTCCTCGGGATATCTTCTAATATAATCT